TTTCACTTAAGTTTGGTTTCTACTGGGGTGAAAATAAAAATCACTGGGGGACAAATTACCTCCTGATGCAACAGCATATTTTTCTCCAACCAAGCAATCTTTCAATTCGGTATTGTTGCCAACTTCCACACCGTCACACAAAATGCAATTGTTCAAAACACATCTAAAATAGAAGATTGGATTAATGCACAATCCAGGTTACAAAATTTGTATGCCAGTAAGAGAGAGTGAATACTGTAAAACATACCCTTCATTGATTTTAACATTATTCATGATAACGCAATTTGCAATTCGTGTTTTACTTAGTACTGTACAACTACTACCAATGGAAGAACTACGAAACGATGTTTTCTCAGCCAAATGTGACATTTCTCCAACCATGGTTGAGTCATCAACTTGAGTAGACTTTACTTCAGAGGCTTGGTGCAAGCGGATTAGAGGATGCGCACCAGTTACTTTCTCCCATATTTGTATTACCTGAACAGAAATAGCACTGTAATATATTTCATCATTTCAACTCAAATGAATTCAGAAAAACTTCTTACTTGTCTATTGATACAAGCATAAGCTTGAAGTGTATTCACTCTCATTCCAAATGAACTGCTGTCAGCAATATGAGCATAACAGCGTATTTTGTCATCTTGAAAAGTGCCTTTCATATCACCCCAATGATCATTAAATATAGATTTTGGTAATACTTTGCTAACTATGTTACTCTCTTCAGCAAACTGATAAATATCTGCAAACAAATTTTATCAGAGGTTTACAAGTCAATGCATACATGTTGCATACAATATAGTACATTTGTGTTCATTACTATAATTGTTTCTACCTTTCTTAATAGTCCCACTGACTACTGAAACATCTTCAATAATTTGAGCTGGCTTGGAGGATTGCTTTCTCACAATGTACGGAAGGAGCTCTCCCTTCAAAGTGCTTAAAGACCTGTACAGGAGTATTCATAATTTTTAACCAGCATCCAATATAAAGGTACAATGAGTCACAGTGTCACATAGTCATTCACCTCTCATGGTCAAGAAACTTGCAAACCCATTTTCGGAGAACATAAATGTGAGAGTCCATCAATCTACTAAACAATTGGAGATGAGGATGCTTCCGAAGTAACCCTCGCGATAGTGGCAAAGTTTCATCAAAATCAGAAACTGATGCTAGCAGCACAAGCCGTGAAGTATCAGGATTAATCCCCACCAGATCTCGTTCTAATGAAGAAGAAACAACACAGAAATTATCAGACCGTATTGTAAGGAAATTAAGAGGTTTCTCAAACAAAATGTTTCATACCAGGCTTATGCTTTGATTTAGGGCCAGGAGTAGGAAGAGCATCAGCAGGTGAAACTTCAGTGGGCTTTAGAAACAGCATGGTTACTGCAGCTTCATTTTTACGGAAGAGTTCAAGAGCAGGATATAATGAAGCATCAGATACTAAGTCGCAACTGACAACAACAACATCTGCCTTAATCTTTTCACTGATAAAGTGCAAAGAATCAGCTGTGCCCCAATCATCTTTCCCAGGTGGTAAGGCTACAATGTCTAATCGCATTGTAAGGTTGCACTTTTCTAATGCTGCTTGAACTTCACTTTTAGCTGTATCAGCAACTACCAAAATGGCATCTATTGAAAAAGAGACAACATAATATAGTTTAAAAAAACAATGTCTGTAACACTATGATAAAACTCATTTTCAAAACAATCACCATGAAATCCCTCTCTTTCCAGCATTCTCAGGGGGTACCAAACCATAGGCATATTGGCTATTGGTAGAAGACATTTGGGCCGACCTGCTGTGATCTCAGTCATCCGAGAACCTTTGCCAGCAGCTAAAACAACGGCTTGGAATTCCCCTGGCACCATTTTGGATTCTGAAATAATATTGAATGTTTAAGTAATAAATTATTTTTTTCCCATCTGTTACAGTTTGCTGGGCAAGTAAAGTCTTAAAAAAATCAGACAAACAGTTTTGAGTCCTATGAATCCCTTACAAAAATAATGAAATTTGTGTATCGAAAACAAAAAATATGTGCGTTGGAAACACAAAACACACAAAGTAATGATTTTAACTGGTCCAGCACCAAATACCATAACCTACAAAAGAATTCTTCAGTAAAAAATAATTGTAGGGCTTTCGTCACTCACGAAACAACTAGGAAACATCAAAACTAAATTATTCTGTATATGCAGTGCTCTTAAAAATTGGCGTTAGCTTAAGCATACGCCCAAAATTTCACATGAGATTCACTTACTGTTACAATTTTAGGCACATGTGTTTACATCTACAACTCGACCGACGAATCATTCGATAGCAGGAATCGACTGTCTTGCTTTGCCCTCTGCGGATCACATCCGAGGAGCTGTGTTTGGTTCATTTCTCTCTCTCCCACTCATGAGAAAGAGCATGCAGCAGACAAGGATCGAATCAAAAAGCAGGGTCATGGTTGGTTATGCGGAGACATTGCTCAGACTGTCTTCTGCTACGACGAAGGAAGACACGACAAAGGCTCACTGTTAGGCCATATCTAGTTCCCTTCAACGATGGAAGAATTATAGTTTCATTGCGTGTTCTTAGGAGGCATACGGAATTCTGCAGCGACAAGCGAGTAGAAGTAAGTGCCATTGCTCAAGCTGTCCTTGCTTGTCGTGACTTCAGGTGAAGCGCAGTAGCAAGGAGCATTTGCGTTTAGGCTGCTGCGTGGGTCCTTTGTTATGTTTGGGTTTTGAGTACAATGTTTGCGACAGAACAATGTGATACGTCGGATTCATCGCCTAACGATTTGAACGGATTGATTCGCTCAGTCTTTTTCTGATTTTTATTCTAGAAGGACTAAACATTTGCATGCAGCCAGCCAAACATATTGAGATACTCAAATGAATGGACCACTGTGGTTCATCAGCGAACTTTGATTGAATTTATTTTTAAAAGATTTGAAAAATAGTGACAGTTTAATTATTTCTTTCATAATTTGAGCTAGTGCTCTTCTTTAGTTACAGTGACTTTCTTGGAGTGACAATGGTCTTTAAAAAACAAACACAGAATAAAACATGTTTATTAGATGGTAGAAAATGTAATATCAGAAAACCAGGGTTTATTATAACAGGGTTAGATAGGTGTACATCATGAAAAACATATAATTACTCCGAGTTTTACTTTGTCTGTTTTGCTTATTGTCTAATTATAGTCAATGTGTTACTTTGGCTTAGGTCCAACATGAACGCAAGCAAAGAAACTCATGACTTGAGCAGCACTTCTGCGGAGGGAGGGGAAGGGAGTGACCAAAGCATGTCTGACAGTTGGACTGTACTTGACTCAAGTCATTTCAAAGATGGTATGCTGCATATTTGGATGTTCAATACTTATTTTCACTTTTTACACGTCATGTTCAGAGTTTTGAACAAGTGTATTATTTTACAGATGGTGACTTGAGTGATGCTGAATCTGTTGAAGTTTTGGCAACTGATGAGCCTGCTTTAACAGATGATACCTGTTCAGAGGGAATGTTTTTTGGACCAACATCTAGTGGGGTTCCAAGTACTTCATCTGTAGATTCTAGCAAGTCTATTTTTGAAGAAACTAAAGTCAATGAAATTGATTCAACACCGGAAGAACCAAACGTCACTCCAGCAGAAGAGGTTAATGATGAATCGAACTCCAATGCCACTGAGAAGCCTTCCAATAATACTATTCCTCCAAGAAAACAATACTTTTTTAATGGTGCTCCTATTGAAATTATCGGTGAATCGTTTAGCACCATTTTGTTGGAGCTTGCCATCTATTCACTAATCATTGACCTTTTTATTTTGACCTATTTTGGATTCTCATCAGTGACTGGAATTTTTGGTAAGTTGTCACGTCCTAATTTGCTTGGTGTCAGATTGAATTCCATTTTTTTCTTGGTTACAAATTCTTTTCCTTCATCAGATAAACCAGGCTCTTCCCTTGTTAAGATGTCCCCATCTCATCTGCAGTATGAGATGGATCCTCTTGCTTTACAGCTGAGCCATGTTCTGGCAGGTTAGTACTAAACAAACTTAACATGTCATAAAAATCTACCCATGTTTTTCTTTTATCCTGATAAATTTGTTTTACTGTAAACAGAATGGAAGAAAAATCCGCAGGAGGACCATTCCCTTGACCGTCATTTGTTGAAAACCCTACTTCTATATTATGGTGGAAGCAGTGAGCTTTCTGCCACTCTGCATTCTTTAACAGCTAAAGTTCAGAAGCATAATGGATTTATTCGACATGTGGGTAAAGATTGGCAAATGAATGGACATCGTAATCACTTGATTGTATCAGGACATCTTGCCCATTCAGTGGCATGTATTCTTGGGAAGCAAGACAATGATAAGTCACTCCCAGAAGATTTATTTATGACAGTAAATAGTACTAGTGAAATAATCAACCCTGATTTTTCTCCTGAACCCAGCTTTTGGCTCAATGACTGGCATTTACCGCAGTATTTCAAGGCAAATGATACATATTACCGTGTTGAAAGCAAACCAGTTTTACCTCCAATGAGAAACTTGTTCTTAAATCTTGGATCAGCCAAGTGGAATCAATATTTCTGGCAACTGTATCATCATGACATTGAGGGAAAGAAAATAAAAGAAGATAGAGAGGTGTTTCAGGCTCAGGGAGACAAAGTTACAGAAAATGAGTTGGAAAGTGAGGAAACTGAGAGGTCCCCTCTTGATCTATTGTCTAGTGGAGACTTGATAACTCTTGAAGAATCATCAGGAAATGTTGAAAATCTACATGAAAACATTGGAGAACAAATTGAAGTCTTCCCTCGTTTTTTAATCAATGAAGATTTCGAGGAGATTGCTGATGAAGTCGAAGAGAAGGAGCAGATAGATAACTGGGGAGGAAACTACTTTGAAGTTCTTGATGGTGAAGAATACTTAGGGGCCAATGGGCCTTACCAGACTAGATATGTCTGCTTGGATGATAGCTGCAGACCATACAAAGCAGTGAAGGGTGACGAAGTTCACAAGGCTGAGAGTAAAGGAAAATTAAGTAGGCTGTTTGAGGAATTAGCCTTAGACCAACCTAAAATTGATCAAGTATCTGAATGGTCCAATGAAAATCCTTCACAAGTTGATGATCATGTTCATGTCTCTAATTATGATTGGCTGGAAGATAATTCTTTTCGTGATGAGGATCATGTATCTAATTATGATTGGCCTGAAGAGAATTCTTTTCGTGATGAGAATCCTGTTTCCAATGAGTGGCTGGACAAAAATACTTTTGAGGAATCTAACCCTGAACTCTATGATGTACAGCCAGCCCATCAGAAGAAAAGTAAAATAGTTGAACTTTTTGAGGAGTTGTCATCAGATGAACTGAAGGGTGAGAATATATTTGCAGGTCGGTATATAGAAAGTTCTCAAGAATTTTTCAACCTATTTGATGACAAAGTTCCAAATAAGGCTGTTTTAGAGAGCAAAGCATTCAAAGATTCTCAAAATGAGGACTTTGTGAACTTATTTGGTGACATAGTTCCAAATGCAGCTGTAGTAGAGAAAAACACGTTTGAAAATCCTAAGAAAGGAAAATTGGCTATGCTGTTTGAGGAATTAGCTTTGGAAGAGTCCTTAGAACAGAAACAGAAAGATGGCCTGATTGCTGAGTCTCCTACAAAAGAAAAGAAATCTAAATTGAAGCGCAGATACAAATTGCACAAGCATGATACTGAGAGTGCTAAAGGCAAAGGTAAGCAGAAGAAAAAAGAAAAGGGTAAAACACTTTTTGAAAATGGAAATTCTATGGGTAAGAAAAAGATGAAGAAACGCAATAGTATGAAAAAAGAGATGAAAGTTGAAGAATCTGAACTGAATAACTACTCAAATGTCAATGATAAGTTGTATGTTGGGGGACGAAAATCTTTTGAAGGAAGAAGTGAAGATTGGAACACTCGCATGGCTGAAGGAAGAGAAAAGTTACGGGCTTTAAGCGAGAAAGAGGATGATCAGAGCTGGCTGTTTGAACGAGCGAGAGCTCGCCGAGACTTGCGGGAAGAGACCTTTGTTCAGTGATTATTAATGCTATTTATCTATTGTCCATTTCTTCAGAAGGGGAACCAGAGAATGATTTATAAATGCTGTAGGAAAGCTTATGAGTCTGCTTGCTGAATATGAGATTGTCTCTGAAAACTTGGTTTGTGTGAATCAACTTTTCACTGATTCATTTAGTTTTTTTTTGTTTTTTTGTTTTTATTTTTTAATTTATGGTTTTTCCTCACTTAGTTGTGGAAAGCCTGGGTATCGCTCTCTTCATCTCTCTCATGGTAATACATTTAGTCATTCATTGTCTTGTGATTATATCTTGTTTTGTGATTTTTTTGTATCTAAATCTAGTTTTTTGTGGTTTCTTTGACCATTGTTTCTTTTAGCATAAATAAGTAGGCTATTTTCTGTGACAAGAATAAGTTGTGAGCTATCTTCATTTTAATTTTGTTCTTGACATATTTTCTTGGTTTTCTAAACCATGTAGGAGGTTTGCTCTCTGAATCAGATTTTGGGCTATTTTGGTTTGAATATATGACAGGACCTTAAAAGTATGTATTCATAATTCTTGGTTTCCTTTACTTGTCTAAAAGAAGGGGGGGAGAAATCGGTTACCTTCTTACTAACTCAGAGACTTAATCTAAGGAGATTAATCAATGTATGCATCTAAACCAAAGTATACTTGTACATCAGGAAAAATGTGACCATGAGAGTGTAAACAGTTAATCACAATAGCTGTTTGCAACACTTGTGCTACCAGTTTTCCGTTTTAAAATGCCTGTGTATTTGATGTTTCCTACTGTTGACGCATAGTCCTCCTGTGTTTAGTTTTGTGATCATTGGATATTATCCATGTACCTGTTTGTGATAAGTTACTTAAATCTGTGTGGACTTGTGGGCTTATCTATGTTTTGATGGTATTGTATGGGTTAATCCATTTTTGCAGGTACTGATATAGATTTATATATACGTAATGCAAACCTGCTTGCATTCTTTGTAAATACCTAGCGTTGTACTGCCTTTGCATTGTCACAGTTTTTACTAGAAAGGGACACTTGTCACCTTCTTTCACTCTGACAGGCAAAGCACATACATAATATTTTATTTTAAAATCTGCCTCTAAATTTGACATGTCAGCCGTGGAAATATTCTTGTCTTATTGTTAGAAATTAATGTGTAATTTAGTGGTTGGAATTTATCTCACATTTTAGTTGATACTCATTCACTGAGGTAGAGGTAGAGGCCTGGTCTGATCTGTCAGTGTTGTCTTTGTGTTTTTGTTTATATCTACTTTGATGAAAAATCTTGATGATTTTTTTTCTCCGGTGTTTCATTTTTTTGTACGTAGTGGGTTACATTAATTTGTTCCAACATTAATCTCATGTGTGGCATTGTTATGCTCACTATCCCTAAAGCTAAGGAGTGCCAAGTTACATTAGAAGCACAATTTTTATGACTATACGTCATAAATGTGCCATTACTGAAGTTTAGATTGTACAAAAGTAATACCTTGGTATATGTTATTGTATGACCTTTCCCCTCAACTCTCCATTATACTTATCATGTCATAGTTTATTATCGGTATACTAGGCATGTTAAAATGTTATATCAAAACCCTCCCACCTTCAAGTATTTCATGTAGAACATACTGTAGTATTTATCATTTAACTCTTTATATAGTAATCCATGCCAGAGAAAATATGGCTGTCTATTGTGTGAGTCTACTAACTAATTGGGTATCAAAGCACGCAAATGAAATGTGTTCTTCCTTTAATTTGCCACTGCAATGTAATCTGGTGTTTTGTAGCACTCACAATTGAAACTTAAATTTTTAAATTCTATCTGCATTTTATTTTTCTTCGCCAAAAGATGCTCTATTTGGACCAAACGTTTTTGTCTAACGATTTCGCCATATGGCATGTTGCATGTTGACCAATGAAGCAAACATCCAATGAATAGCAGTTTTTGACCATGTTCAAGACAGGTATGATTTTTATAATAATGTCATGTTTCCCCTTTCTGTTGCCTTTAGAAAGAAACACTCATCAAAATGTCATTTTTATAAAAGCCTGTTTTATTATATAATATAAATGCACTTTGTGTCTCTAGAAGTGTTTTAGTCCCTCCATTTTATCTACTGATGGAAACCTTAGTGCATGTGTGTGTTTTTGTTTTGGTGTGTTTTGTGAGTAACAGTATTTTATTTCTTTTGAACCTTCTGTGAATCTACTTAAGATTTCTTTACCTGTTCTTCAGACTGCTCCTACTGCTAGTTTGAAAAAGGATGATTTCCTTGCATTCCATCAGCTTTCAAGTGATAGAAGAGTTCAGCTTATTTCTAAAATTAATAGAATCCTGTAGGTGAAAATATATTTGATAGGAACAGTTTGCGTAAATTATTGCAGTACCATCTCAAAGAAAAATCAATCTTAGAAGATACAACAAAATTTTTATGTATATGAATGTGGTATCAAATACTTCTTGTATGAGGTGTAGAAGATGATTGGATTATGGTAGCAAATAAGAGCTGCATTGTGAAACCATTTTTTTTTTTTTTTATTGTTTTACTCCAGAAGTCTACTTATGATCTGCACCAAGCTACATTATTATGCCTCAACACAGTAGTTTAACAGATCAAATTCAGCATGTAGTTTAGTATTTCATATTTGTTAGTTTCAAAATTGTAGCATAACAAAATGACACTCTTTAATATTAATTCCTGTGATTTCAAGGAAAAAGTTAAGCTTGTTTTGCTATCCTTTTCATAACTTTAAGTGTGTATTTGCAGGAAAATCATTCTTTTAGTTGACATGACTTTGCTAAAGGGAGCTTTGTGGTTTCCATGGTGTGTCTTAATGCATTTTAATTCTGTGAAAGTTTTGAAATTACTAACATGATAACGAATAAAATGTTTTCAATGTACCATCATTTGTTTAAATATTTTATGTGACAAGGTTCATTTGACCTCAGCTCAGCATAGCACCGATCTCTCCATTCTTCATGTTAAATTTACTCCTCAGTTTTTCCTGATTCAGAACCTGTAGGTTCTAGTTGATACATTTCAAAACTGCTAAAGCCTATGTTACTGTCATTTTATTATACATTTCTTAAGTACATGAATAGTAAAATAGTAAATCACTCAGGAATGGCAATAAAAATGCTGTAACAATTTATGAATGACCAAGAGTGGACTCCTATCACTGCAAGTGGTGAAATTTTAAGTCTCCCAGTGGAATTTTTTAGGACTATGTCTGAAATATCATGAAAATTTTCCTCTAAACAACTAAATTAATGGGAATGTAAGCCATGAATGTATTATGTAGATTAATATTAAGAGATGTAATATCTCATACATTTACATTTGATTAAGAGATGGTATAAAGATTAGAATGATAAGAAGACAAACATGAGTTTATCTTAAATCACAATAGGTCATATTTCATCAAAGCACAAAGCTTGCAACTGCAGCATCCAGTCCTGACATCAAGTCTCTTGTGTAAAATCAGTATTTTTCTGAATTTTTTGAAATAGGTAAACTAGCGCGATGCGAATCTTTTCCGCGGTCAGAGCGCTAGAGGAGTCTTAGGTTTGCTTTTCGAATTTTCTTTCGTGCCTGATTCCGAAAGGGAGAGAGATAGACGATCTCCTACAGGCTCACACTGCTTCTGCAGGAAACTCGCGGATCCCACCCTCGCCACGGCTACTACCCTACCAGGGGAGGCCCTCACCAGTTGAGTGTTCAGTACCCTGCCCTGCATAGGGGAGGCGAAGACCGTGCCAGAGTCGGTGGGCGATGGTCGCCTCAGGGATGGTCTAGCTCAAGGCGGGCGGCAGTGAGGCTGGTGCCGGTGTCACTGGGCTGTCACTGGGTACACGCCGGTGCCCGCTCACGACCGCCCGAGGACCACGCAGGCGAGCAGGACGGCGAGGACGGCGAGGGGCGCAGAGCCGACCGCTGCCCCGCACTTGGTGTGCTCCACGGGGTCCTGGTAGTAGACGGCGCGCTGCTTGACCGGCTGCGGTGCGCGGAAGTTCTTAAGCATGAACTCGGCCGACGATGAGGGGCCGGCCGAGTGCATGAGCAGCTGCTGGAACTCCTTGATCTGGTCGCGGGCCAGGGGCAGTGTGTCGCGGAACACGGTCCAGACGACGCCCTGGTCGCAGCCCGGCGTGGTGAGCGAGCCGGCGTAGCGCCACCAGCGCTCCGTGTCCGTGGGCAGCAGGCTGCCCGGGCTGAAGCGCGCCGCCAGCTGCGCCGTCCGGCCCGGCTCCGTCACGGCCCGCAGCCCGGACGTCACATGCTTCAGCTCGATGTTGGGCAGGTCCGACTTGTCCTGCTGCAGAGCACAGAGGCGCTTCGGTTAAGTTCAAGTCACGAATTATCATTTATTGCAGGAAAAATGTCCTCTCGTCATGTTTTTATTATTTTTTTTCCTCCTGGAAACTCACATTAGTTGTTATACATGTCTCTGTCCGCAACTCTCTTTCACTCACCCGGAACAGAACGGCGATCACAGCCAGGCTGTTGTTCTTGCCCAGAGCTTCCTGCAGGCTGGCGTAGTTGGCGTCGTAGTGCACCAGATGCAGCTCCAGCGCGAAGCGCTGCCCGTTCACCAGGTGCTCTGAGCCCCAGTGGAAGTGCATCTGCTCCAGCTTGTAGAGCTTGCGCAGGCCGCCGCCCGATATGTACACGGCGCACGTGTTCTGGGCCGTGAGCACCGCTGCAGACATCACGAAACGTACCACTTGAAAAAAAAAATATTGTACGCTGACTGCGATTTTTTGACTGTGTCCACAGTGGAAGTGGATCATCATGGACCTATGCCCCTCCCCGGGCTCCCTCTCCCATTGGGTCTCATCCTGCCCCTTGTGCCCCGCCCCGCCCTGGACCGCCCACCCGCCAGCCCGCCCGCCTCGCCCCGCCGCACGGCGTTGGCTTCGCGCTTCGCGCCATCAAATGCAATCATGCAATCATTCACTTCCAGCCTGAGGCCAGGACCACCAGGACCCAGGGAGAGACCGGGGCGGGTCTTGTCGAGGAGCAGAGGGCCCCGTTGAGCGACCGAAGGAAAACAAATGCACCCATCGGTGGTGCCACGGACAACACGTTGCTGCGGCAGTGAAATCTGCTTATGACCGGGCAGCATATGCTCTCGTAAAGTGTTCCGCCAAACGAGTTTATCCCCCGGGTAAACATTTTCGCGAAACTACCAACACCGCCGAGTTTACTGCGAAGATGTGGTATGTATGTGATGGGCTGACGGGTACTACCCGCCGACAGCGCTGTTCTGGTAGTAGAGTGGCGCAGAGAAACCATCTTGACGGCCAGCTCGACTTTGGTATGCCCCTTGAGGAGCTGCACACCCTGAGGCTTAGGGTGCAATGGTAACCCCCCCCCCCCTCCCTCCCGTGGTAAGCGTGCACCCGTGGCGTACCCGTGTGGCCATTGTTGGTGACGTTGTAGTTGACGAGGCTGTCGTAGTTGACGAACACGAGCGGCTCGTACGAGACCGGGGTCGTGACCCCCTTGTCTCCGTACAGGATGTCGATGGGACTCTGCTCCGTGCCGTTCCGGCAGAGCCCGGACCAACCGTTGCCTGCAAGGCCAGGAACACACACCATCATTACTTCAATCCCTACCACTCTGTCTTGTTGGCAAAAACCATTTGCAATTGATGGAATTTCTCTATTACCTTCATTATCAGGATACTTCCAGCTGCTGGCAGATCCAAATACAAAGACGGCTGTAACAGACAACAGAAAAGCGTCGGTGATTCAATTTCGTACCGATTTGAAATGCCTCACAACATAATTACCAGGCCCAGGCGACTGCCTGTAAACCAGCGGGCCTCTAAATGCCGTGACGTCACGGAGGCGCTGCAATATCTTGCCAACCTAAGCGTAGGGATATAGAGGGAAATTTCCCTAGTCGCTCATTATTTCGATTGGTAGAATCGGCCCTCGGCAGACCGTACTTTTGAAATTGCTAAGTGTGAAGCAAGTGTTGTGATTTAGAAATCAATTTCGTTTTGTAAAAACAATATAAAACAATTAAATAGCCAAATGCTTGTTCATAAAAATACATAAAGATTGGTCAGGTTAACAGCGGAATAAAATTCAAAGTTTAAACTATTTGTATTATATTTCAAAGAAACAATTCAATAGAGCAAAGACATAGTCATATTTTCAGTATAAATAATACAAAGTGGAAGAAAAAACAATTTATACTCTGCTCCTGTGGTAAACTGCTTTGTAGTCCACTGCTTTCATGCGTGCCCTCAGATGTGTGACTGATAGTGCATCAACCTGTTGAGAAGATCAAACCAACAATAATATTATTGGGTATTCTGGCTTTGGATATCAGCTTTGATTTATTCTTGCAAATTTAAAGCACCTCTGTAGTACAATCTAGATCTATACTCTGAAATGGACCACACAGAGCTACTGGAACGGATATTTAATTTTATTTACTAATAATGGAATACCCGCTCATAGGCATTGGGTATGACACATCTTTGAAAAATCACTGAACAACGGGTTTATATACCATGTTATAACATAAAACTGAACAATCATGAAACAATGACCTACTAAAGGCTCTATTGTCCCTATTAATGAATTAGTTATTGATTAGGTACATGACGCAGCAAAGGAAGTTATTGCTGTAAAGTTCCAGAGGATAACTCTGCGCACTGCTCCAAACACTAATGACACGTGAAAGTAAATGAATTTTCTGCGTTAATTCCTTGGGAAGCATCAGCTTAGGCACATCACTGTTGTATATTAAGAGAATTGTTTAAAATTTGAATAAGATTTGGATGACAGACCCTACATTTAACCTACCATGAACTCCTGTATCTTGCACGGAAAAGCCAATTTATCTTGAGGTGAGAGTGGGTCAAAGCACAGCGTCAGGTTTTGAATGCAGTGATATTAAGGGTTAATTTTTCAATTTTGAAAGGAAAATTGAAAACGAACTTGGT